TTACCCTCCCTCGCGCTCAGGGTCTAGCCTAGGCGAGTACAACGATGGGGATTACAGTCATGCCCCGTACGCAGAGGACCAGCTACATACTGGATTCTCTCAGCAAGAGCTCGCGTCGGCGCCCAATGCCGGTGACGCCATGCCAGCGCCTCTCCGCCGCGAAATCAACCATACCCCAGGCAATGCACCCAAGTATCAGGTTCATCGAAACTCACTAAACTTACAGCACCCCCAGCCCAGACAGGGCCAGACAGAGCGCTTCCGCAATGCTCTGGAGTTCTCTGCTCAAGAATATAACGTCCCCATGACACCTAGGTCGGCAGATTGGGGTGGTTCGGTTTCGAGCTTGAACCAGATGGCTCAAAACACCAACCGATACAGCCAGGCATCATCGACAGGTGCTCCTCAGGACCCTGCCTACTGGACCACATCCCCAACCGGCCCCCCTCGACCTCCCAAGGAGCCCATCGAGCCCACTGGTAGTCCCTCAGCTCTATCTCCCCCCCGGGGTAGCCGCATCTCCAAGTTGGCCAAGGGTAGCCCCGCCCCTCACCCCAGTGATGAGAGCGGATATGCTACTATGAGTGGCACACATGTCAGCCACCTCACAAGCAGCCCCAAGCCTGAGAACCGTAACCTCAATGCTGCTTTGGGTGTTCCTACTCGTCGACCTAGTGGGCCACGAGCCATGACCCCTAAGAGCCCTGAGGATGAAGCTCGTCGACGCAAGCGAGGTAAGTTACATCTGATCCGTATCTAATATTCATGTCTCTAACCTTGAAGAGCAGATACCTTCGGCAGTGTTGCATCCCATAACACGGATGACACGGAGACCTTTTAGAAAGGGGATAACCGTGGCAGCTGTCCACTACCGGGATGCTGATCGATATCTCATCAGAGAATGATACAGTGCTTTGCTTTTCTTGACACCCAGCTTGACTCTCCTTCTGGAGGTTCTGGCTGGTGGTCAGTTGTATGAACTTTTTATGGACATGAAACGGCCTTGAAGTGGATGAATTTGCTATTAGCGAGAAAAAGAAAGGCAGCTTTAGACTGAAGGGGTGGCCAGCTGAAACAGCATCAAGGTGAAGGGCTTAATGAACGAACAACCAAGGAAACGGGGAAGAAGAAAAAAAAATAGGGGATGGAAAGGTGTTGACAAATACCGAAAAAGAAAACAAAGAGGAGAAAAGGTTGCAGGAAAGGGACATATTTGCATACAGGGGCTTTTGCTTCAATTCTTGACGACGACATGACATGGCTTTCTTACTGCAGAGCGATACGTCAATGGTTTGATTTGCGAGCAATGACTTAACTCGGATTGGATATTATGAGCGGAAAGAGGATGGATGCTATGCCAGGATAGCAAAAGTACAAGTATAAGCACAAGCACAGGTGAAAGGACATGATGTGTGTGAACATATTTTCAAGTTAGATAGTTTTTTTGGGGGGTTTCCTGGTTGTGTTTCGCTTTGTGACCGTGAGATAGATACCATAACCACCGATATTGGCTGTAATTGGGAATGAAAGGACTTCAATCGATATACACCCAGAGAAATACCACCGCGATGTATTCTGTTCCTTTGCAAGTGAAACAATGGCTTCTCCAGCCAGCGTTATATAATGATACCCATAGTTTAGGTCTTCGCTATCAGTTAGGCACCTTAGTGATTGCTTGGGTTTGGGAATGATAATGATTGATTAGTCGAGGTTTTAGCGTACCTAGGGACGGCCCCAGAGTATCCGGGGGAGGGCCTCAAAGTCCGGAGACCGCCAACTGAGGGAGCGTCCCTTGGACTACCTAACTACTAGTACTTACTAACTTAGAGCGATGTTCAATGGGTCGCTCCGACTTCGGTGAAGAAGTACCAGTGCATGCAGCTCCCCCAGGTCCGGCGAATAACGATCTTCAAAAAGTTGTATGCGTCAGCATTCAACTTCTGAATCGGGGACTTTTTGACATCTCTTCAATTCGAATGTTTTCATGGCTACAAGATCTTATGATCCCATATTTTCCCCCAATATCTCTTCTTATCTGACACAGAAGCCTCGCCATTGTGCGCTGAGCTCGAGCATCAGCTCTTCCAAAAGCTGCTGTTCACTCCTTCGAGGAGATTCATGACGAATAGACTCGCAGGAGTCAAAACACACACGGACAATGGCTGCAGATGTGCAAGGGAAGATCATATTGAATGAGCCAGAACCCATCAAGACAAAGGAAAAGAAGACGAGTAACGTCGGTGGTGGAAGCGGTGCACATGATTACAAAGGCTTTGTAGCGGGTGTCTTCAGCGGCATCGCCAAGCTCTCAGGTATGTGTCCCTTGTCTTGACATGACGGCTCGAGATGCAAATATTGACAGACTTTTCATAGTTGGCCATCCATTCGACACTATCAAGGTCCGTCTACAAACGACAGACCCAAGTCGCTTCAGTGGCCCTCTGCAATGCGTCACACAGACTATTCGCCATGAGGGCTTTCGCGGGCTCTACAAGGGTGCAACACCGCCTTTGGTCGGATGGATGTTTATGGACTCGGTCATGTTGGGCTCGCTCACCGTCTATCGTCGTCTTCTCTCAGAACATGTCTTCAACGTTGAACCACTAGGAACCGACGTTACGGCATCTTCACCAGGCACAGCCCCAAAGGGTCACACGGCGCTACCCAGCTTCGGCCATGGTATCGCGGGAATACTAGCTGGCTCAACGGTGAGCTTCATTGCTGCCCCAGTCGAGCACGTCAAGGCACGGTTGCAGATCCAGTACGCAGCGCAAAAAGCCGACAGATTATACGCCGGGCCGATTGATTGTCTGCGCAAGATCTACCGATACCATGGCATCAAGGGCGTGTATCATGGCCTCTCAGCGACTCTTCTCTTTAGAGGATTCTTCTTCTGCTGGTGGGGCAGTTACGATATTCTATCTCGACAACTACGCGAGAAGACAAACCTCAGTGCACCGGCAGTGAATTTCTGGGCGGGAGGCCTGAGTGCGCAGGTGTTTTGGTTGACCAGTTATCCGAGCGATGTAGTCAAGCAGCGTATCATGACAGATCCGCTGGGAGGCGGGCTAAACGATGGAGTCAGGAGATTTCCTCGTTGGAAGGACGCAGCCGTTGCTGTATACAGGGAGGGAGGTTGGAAGGGATACTGGAGAGGATTTGTTCCGTGTTTCCTGAGGGCGTTTCCGGCGAATGCCATGGCGTTGGTTGCTTTTGAGGGTGTCATGAGGTCGTTGCCATGATGAGGCGCGAGCATGAGGATAATACAATGAGATGAAACAAACAAACCGACGGCATCATCTTCAAGTCAGTTCACAAATTCGGCATTTACATCACTCGGTTATTGGGACGAGAGAGAAAACATGAACACCACAAAGAGTGCCACATAAAATGGCTGGGTCTATTGGCCGAGTCCTTAAAACTTTTTGTTATCCCCTGTCCCAATTCTCCAATCCATTCCTGCGCCGATGCAATGCAAATTGATTCGATTACTCGTCGTCCTCGTCAGCCTCGTCGTTAACAACGTTGAAGAACTTGAGCTCGTAGACACCTCGGGAGGTAGAGACGACGCGGAGCCAGTCGCGGAGCTGCTGCTTCTTGAGGAACTTCTTGGTCCTGCACACAGTTAGCATCTTGTTGATGTGATGTGCATCCCCGTGCTTCATTTCAGACACGTACAGATACTTGAGGTAGCGACCAGAGAGCTCGTTGTGAGCGGTGATCTCGATCTTGCCCTCACCGGACTGCTTGACAACAACGTTGTCGCCAAGGTTGTTTGTGCGGCCCTCGACCTTGATACGGTCCTGGAGGAACTTCTCGAAAGCGGAGACGTCGAAGATCTTGTCGCTGGCAGGCTGAGAAGCATCGATGATGTACTGGCGGGATCAGTTAGCGATTGTGTCCCTCGTTGGGGTGGGGGGCTGTGGCTGTGCCGTGTGAAATCGTCGTCACAGTCACAGTCGCATTCGTAGTAGTCGTCATTGTGCTAAATTTCGATCTGGATCTGAATCTCGCGTACCTTCTTGGTCTGCTTCTGGGCCTTGCCCGACTTCTTCTGTTGAAAAATGACCTTAGCCTACTGCATTCTTATACGGCTCCTCTCCTCGGTGCGATGCGATGCGATGCGATACGGGAGAGGGCCTAACAGCATAGCGGTGTCATGTACGTACTGCCTGAGGAGCCATTGCGAGTGGAATGGAATGGATTTTTGTGTCTGAAAAGGGACTGTGGTATTTTTTGTCGCAAAGAAGTCTAATCCTGCGCTTGAAGGGGAGAAAGAAGCAAGGTAAAACTCGAGGCCTCAGCTCCAAAAGGTAATTCTGTGTGGGTGCAAAAATTAGGGCTCCTCGGATTATTTTTGGTGCGGGTGGAGCGTCATGTGACTTTCATGAGACCAACTACCTTACTTACCTTACCTACCTACAGCAGGTAAGGTAAGGTAGACTCGGTGGCTTCATTGATTACCTAAAATTGAGGCAATGAACAAAAACCTTCACTCGAGCTGATCTGAATCAAATTGCCACCTTCAAAGTCTGTATATCAACTTGCCGACCGACCGCATAACACCAAAGTACTCATCACCACGTCCAATCTATGACCCAACTATCTAGGCTTATAGTTCTGTCATGACGCTTAGACTTCTTTAACCAGGGCAGAGAACTTGCGAGATAGAACAAGACCTGACAGAAATGTCTCATACGTCTTCTTTGCATGATAGATTTAAAATCAGTCAAGAGCTGAAGCAAGATAACTAGATACTTTGTCATTGTGGACTACCTAGGCTGAGTACTTAGGCTCTTAGGTACCTACTAAGGCATACACAGCCTGCGATTGGCTGTGAAACCAGTGTAGGTACCTACCTTAGTAGTTAACTTAGACTATCCGAGGACTGTCCAACTCTTGTCAGCCACAATCGAGTCCCCCTTTAAACAAAACAGATCCAAGTTCATGGCAGTTAATACGGATGCTGACCTGACCTGACCTGACCTGACCTGACGCGCTCAGTCGGTCTTTTGGTTTTTGGCGTGGAGAATAGGATCGAGCAGCTTGGTGAACTTGTCAAGAAGCATGTAGCGATAGCTCATGTAGATATGGCTCAATCGCTTGCGCTGTACCTTTTCATCCCCTTCCATATGCTGCGCTGCCGTCTGGGTGTCCTCCGGGAACTCATCGTTCTTGAGGATCGGGTCGAGGTCCTTGCGAATAGCCTCGACGAGCATGCCACGCCATTGCATGTAGAGCTCCTGGAGACGCTGCAGCTGCCCAACCTCGTCACCATCAGCGAGCATCGGAGGATCGCCTTCTTCTTCATACCAATCCTTCTCTTCTTCCTTTTCGACTTTATTATCTTCGCCCTTCTCCTTCTCCTTCTCCGCGTCCTCGTCCTTGACCAGTTCCTCTAGTGATCCAAAGTCCTCCTTGCAGCCCTTTTCGTCGTCACACTTATAGACCTTGAACTCTTTAGTGATCACGAAAGCGGGCTTTTCTCCCTTCTCAATAGGAGAGTGGCGACCTTTGCTCTTATCATTCCCGATTTTCTCCTTGATCTGCTCCCCAATCTTTCCATAGAGAGCGTCTTCGTACTTCTCAAGGTCGGATTTTTCAGTAGGCTCTTCTTTGATAGCGTCGGCCTTCTCCTTCTCCTTCTCCTTCTCCTTCTCCTTCTCCTTCTCCTTCTCCTTCTCCTTCTCCTTCTCCTTCTCCTTCTCCTTCTCCTTCTCCTTCTCCTTCTCCTTCTCCTTCTCCTGCTTCTGCTTCTTCTCCTCCTCCTGCTTCTGCTTCTGCTTGTTCTGCTCCCCGGCATCTTTGGCTTCTGAGCGCTTCTCAGGGTTGTGGCTTGAAGCATGCTTCCTAAAATCCTCTTTGCGAAGAATTTCTTCATGGCACAAGCCCTGTACCTCTCTCGCCGCCTTTTTCCACTGGGCAAGCTCCTTCTTGGCGTCAAGCAACCATTTTTCTTGTATGCGTGCATAACGATCAGCTCGATCGCTCACCGACTTGATACGTTTTAGAACAATCCGCTTCTCGCCAATGACCTCCCCTGCCTTCGCGCCCTCTTCCGTTACCATGTGGCAGTTCGCCAGGTCGTTTGTCTTTTGGAAATCTGCGGTGTACTGCTCAAGAACTTTTCCCCAGTCATGTGCCGCTTTCCACAACCTCTTACTTTGTTCCTCGAGGTACCGCACTTCCATTTCTTTGTCCTTCAGAAGCAAGTCTTTACCCTTCTCGTCTTTGTGGCGACGGAGCAGCCTAGACTTCTTAGTGGAGCTAACTTCACGATCGAGAGAGTCCCAACCATGTTCGGACCTGTGTGCTTCACCATCAGAAGTATGAGCCTGGTGGTGATGAGAGCCTTTAGTGGTGAAGGCAGGATCGGCTGCAGCGGTTGAAACTGGCCTGGTCATCGTAACGGTTGTGGTTGTTGTCGTTGCGCGTAGGTTGACAGTCGAAGAAGCCGCTGAGACAGAGGTGCTGCCACTCTCGACTTCGCCAGAAGAGGGTGTAGCAGAAGTGGTGAGAGTAGAAGTTGTAGTGACTACAGCTGGTGGTGCTGGTGTTGATCCCGAAGTGACCAATCCGGCTGATGCTGTCGAGGTCGCGGACGCCTTGTTGCCACAGGAGCAGGTGTCACAGGAGCAAGCATCCGGCACAGCAGCGGTGCCGGTGGTAGAGGCTGCTGCTCCAGGAGGGACGGACCCTTTACCAGGATAAATGGTGGGCATTTCAGCGATTACGCTGTTCAGTCTGGTAGAAGCAGATGCCCATGACTTACGGAAGCTGATGTAGCTGTCCAGGATGGGAACTGCTGCTGATGGCCCAGCGAAGCCCACGAGAAGAATGAGATCAGGACGCATCTCCAAAGCAAAGATTGATCTGACAAGTTGGGTTGATCAGGTGAAAGGGCTAGCCAGACCCAGCGACAAGACCAGGTGCATCTTATATAGACCGGAAGGGGATTCTTTTTTCGACAAACTTCGACAGAGAGTTTCTGAATCAAAAGCCCCTTTTACAGAGCGTCTGAAGCACTCCGCCACGGATTCTACTCCTCAGTGCTGAAATCAGCATCGTGATCCGCTCACTCAACTGGTGAGGGGTATAGTCGAACCACTTAAACATCTGCCAAGCAAACCCAATTCCAATAATTCCCCGAGTGCGTTGCCAATACAGCCACGGAATGGCTTTAAACAAGTCCACCTGGGCTACATTGCAGCCAAGGTTCTCTCAATTCCGTAAAGCTATCTGAAAAGAGGCAGCAGAAACAGCACTCCGATGACGAGCACATATCTCTTTTCAAGTAAAATGAATCATAAATTGTCGTCAATCTATATGGCAATTATGGCGTGAGAAAACAACTCTTTCGTGCTTCCAGAGAAATCATATCGTCATGTCAACAAACTCAACAGAAACCTCCCTTGTCGTCACATATATACGTAAAGAATATCATCACACTACAAAGCCCGAAATGAAGACAATCTGTCCCTTCTCTCGTTCTTGGCTGTTCAAGACTTGCTAAACAGCTTCTTGAATGCACCTTTGATGCCCGATGGCTTCTTATCTTCCTCCCTCATCTGCGCTCTCCGTCGTTCTTCGTGGCGTGCTTTGCGTCGAGAGTCCTCCGTGTCCATCCTGACGTGCTTGACTGGTCGAGGCTCCTGTTCTCTGTCTCTGTCCCTATCTCTCGTCTTACTCTTCTCCCTGTTTCTCTCCCGTTCCCTGTCCCTGTCTCGAGTTGGCTCAGGGGCAGGTTCCTCACGAGGGCGGCGCGAGGACCGAGGACGGGGTTCATCGGTAGACGGGCGAGTGCGTCTATGACGTGCCGAGGGCCGTTTAGGTGAGTCCTCCAGCGGGGCCTCCCTCGTTCGATCCCTGACAGGTTCGGCTATCACAGGCTCCTCACGTGGCGGTGTGGTACTGCCTAGGATACCCTCTGAGTTCTTGACGGCAAAGAACTTCTTTTCAGGCACGGGAGCGGGCGGGATGGGTTCCTCTCGAGGACGTTCCCTAGGCTCTTCATATCGAGGTCTCTCGGAATGGCTATGCCGGCGCGAGCGGCGATGTCGTCGATCCGGTCCGGGCTCATGCAACGGCTGAGGCTCTGGTTCTGGTTCTGGTTTTGGTTCTTGTTCACGAACAGGCTCTTTACCCTTGCTCTCCTTTTCCTCTCGATATCCTGAGGGTTCACGCCTTGTGCTAGCTTCCTCTCGTGCTCGCCGTTCTGCCCTTTCTGCTTTGCGTTTGTCGTGGGCAGCTTGTTCCTCAGGGGTCCGACGTTTGCGGCCAGAGCTTCCAGAACTATTGTCGGCAGAAAAACCACTGTCTCGTCGTGGCGTTCTAGGTGGGGTGCCTGGAGGACCCGATTCGACCGTATCGGATCGATGGCGTCGATAAGGATGAGTACCAGATGATCGTCGTCTGCGCTCTCGGCCCTCATCCTCCTGGGGCGGGGCACGTGAAGCTGGTTCTTCGGCTCTCCGAGATTCACGTGGCCGTGAGTCCTCGTCTCGGCGATAACCTCTGGTTCTTGGCTCTTCGGGACCGCGAGAGCTCCTGGGTCTAGCCTCAGCCTCACCACGTGAGTCGCGAGCTTGCGTTTCATCTTCTTCACGATGGCGTCGATATCGAGACTCGCCTTCGCGGTGAGACAGTCGGCGATGGCGGCCCTCGTCTTCCTCTCGAGGTCGATGAGCTCGCCTCTCGTCGTCGCCACGGTATCTGCGCTCCCTATCCTCCTCACCACGGCTTCCGCTGGAGCGATTCGAGTGATGAGAATGACGGCGCCTACGATGTCTATCTCTGTCTCTATCGCTTCGCGACGAGTCAGATTCTCTGCTCCTATCGTCTGCAAACAAGTCAGCATTAGACTTGTGAAGTTCTTCGATATCATCATCAAAGCTCCTCAAAGAAGGAGAAACAGCTGGAAAATTGTAATCATTGGGCTCTGCATCCATTTGATGCTCCAGGTTAGGAAGTCCTCCGTTTCTGTGGTAAGTGAAAGGCGAAGGGCTGCCGGGAGGACTGAGGGCCTCTGCAGTTGCATATATGACCACGGCGGCGGCCAGCGTATCCTCAGCACGTCGAATTGAGGTCTTTCGTGTACGCCTTAAGGTACGGGCTCGCTGTAGATCAATCATATCTGCATCTGGAATCACGATGCCAGGACTCGGCGATCTCTGGACTTCAGTCTCGACAGTGGAGCCAGCTGAGGGGGCAGCTCGATATGCAGCATCTCGAAGCCCCTCTTCAATCGTGACTGCAGGATGCCTGAGATCGTGCCTCACATGGCCCGTGGACGACTTGCCTTCGGCCTGAAAAGAACGAGGTCGGGGGGCCTTTTCACCCCGACCTGCCATCGTTGAAGGATCGCCGTGCAACTCCAAGGATCGATGCGCTGGCGGCAGACGAACTGGCACCTTGGCCGGCTCGCTTTCAGCAAGAGGAGGCTGAGACCGCTGAATAGGCTTCGTGTCTACTGGGCGGCTCGCGGCAGGGATGAAGATGGGATCCTTGGTGTAAACTTCTGTCACGGGACGAACCCTAAGCGATCTTCGTGGCCGCTGCTGTTGTGTCAGGAATGTCCGAGGCGGCTCCGTGCGGGACAGACGCGTCGATCGTGAAGTAGAGCTAGACCTCTTTGGACTCTCTGGAATAGTAGCAACTGCTTTGCCTTTATCACGCGAAGGGATATCAACAACCTTGACAGCCATGTGTTCAGGTCGGACGAGTTCGAGAGGCTTCACCTCGGCGGCTTGCACGGGCTTTGGCTCAGAACCTTGAGTATCATCCGTATCAGGAGTCTTGACTTCGTGCAACATGTGGTCAGACAATTCTTGATTGGGGCCCTCCGCTGATGGCGAACGTTCGTCTCGAAGGCCAGCGAATATCGTATGGTCATGATTTGGCTCTTCGTCTTGACTTCTCTCGCTCAAAGCCCTGAATTCATCTTCAACTCCCCTCCTTGCCCCTGATGAAGTTGCATAACTGAGAGCCGGCCGCCTCTGAGACTCAGTACCGTGCACTGGTCGATCGCCCTCAAGTTTATCATCAGGCCACTCAGGAGTGGTGCTTCGAGTCCCGATAGTTCCGGTCTCTTGTGGCGGCATTACTTCAATATCAGTAACATCCACTCTAGCATTCTTGTCTTGATTTGTTTCTGCTTCAGGCTGGTGCGGTGCAGAGATTCTGTCGATGCCAATGGGGGAGATTTCTCTAGAGACAGGTAGGTCATCGTCACTCTCATCATCAGTGGCAGCTGTCGCAGTCGCCTGTCGATCTATTTCGTCATCTTTGGAACTGGTGACAGATCTGCTTTCGATTTGAAGTCCATCGTAAGAAGCGGCTGGCAGCTCGACACCCAACACTCTTCCCAAGGATTCGTGCTTATCCTGAAGCCCACGATTTGGGGCTGTAGTAGGAGTCTCTAACATCTTCTCGGAGTCAAGATAGCCGTGGTTTGGCTGGACGGCAGATACAACAGCAGTAGATATTCCGCGGTGTTTCTGTTCATCACCAGTAGCAAAATGGGAATCGTCTTTGCTGGACACTATCTGTGGTAAGGACGGTGGTTCAGTTTTGGCTTCGTTCTCTGTCCCTTCTACCTTGGATTCGCTGTCCGCATCAGAGTGTTCAAGCCGTCTATGCGGGAGTGCGGTACTATGGAGCTGCTCCTCATCCACAGACCCAGGTGAAGAGGACGTGGAGAGATTGACAGATGATTTGGCTCCAGACGATGCCTCTCTTTGGGCAGTAATAGCTAGCTCTGGAATGGCGGTCTCAGGTTCCGGGTGCGGAAGACCATTGTGTGGAGAGCTGTGCTGAGCAGAAGAAACCACTCTTTTTTTAATATCTGTAGCCGTCGACAGTGATGAAGTAGAATCAGAAGGGTCCAGCTCCTCAGATTGGTCTATTGCGCGATCTGGACAGGCTTTGGGCTGCTCATCAACGACTGCAAGGTTTAGATCTGTAGGTTCAAGCGGCTCGGATGGTTCATCATCATTAAAAGGCGAGCCACGTCGAGCACCAGTGGTCTGCAACACAGAGTTTGGTTGCAGTTCTGGAGAGTTGACTTTATGGACGATATGAGTTTGGTCTACATCAGACTCGTCATCATCATTCGTGTCCTCGCCCTCGTCATCATCACCAAGAGCAAGCGCATGGGCTCCCACAAGTAGGTCCTCTCTGGGACCATGGGCCCTCAAGCTCGGTGAGTCGTGCTCTGGTTCGGAATCATTTTCGTCAGAATCAGAGATATCATCCCCGATGAGATTAGATGAAACCAAAACTGGTGGAATTGGCTGTCTTTCGATAGCGGACTCGTTCAGTTCCCGAACGGATTCACCCGGCAAACTAATACCAGTTGCTGACTGAGGTTCCGATTTACGGCTGGCTTGAGAATCATCATTATCTGAGTCATCCTCGGAACAGGAGTCCTCAAGATCACTGGTCTCTTTGGCAGCGTCTTCCAATTTGATTGATTCCGAGTGCAAAGCAGCAGCCGACACATCTACCCCGGGAGAAACCGGCTCAGCCTGAACTTGTCGATCATGGAGACACTCTAGCGAGATCGCCTGGTCGATTGATTTGGGTCTGGAAGCAACACTCCGTTCATCGAGGTTACTGCCTTCATCATCTGAATCTTCGTCTGAAGCTATGGCTCTCTGAGAAATATCAACAGGCTGAGCGTCCGTGGAAGCAGATGGCCGATCTCCAGGTCCGAACTTGAAACCAATAACTTCATCTGGTGAACTGGCGCGTGAGATAGAATCAGAATCTTCAAGCTCTCCAATGGCTGTATCTTCCGTCAGGCCACGTTTGCTGGGCTGTGTGGCATCGCCCAAGATTATGGCATTTTGAGCTTCCGTGAGCTTGGTTAGCTCTGATGGCTCTAATTCTTGGACGTGACTTGGAGTTGCAAGTTTTTGAATTTGTTCCTCCAAATTCGAAACATCGCCGCCCACTGATTCAGCCTCTGAAACATCTGATTCTTCTTCCTCTTGCTCTCCTGGCTCCGCACGCCGCATAGCCGTGTCTTGGGTCAACTCTCGTGACGTTTGCAACACGTTGTCAAAGTCAGTTTCCAGAATTTTGGGCGCATGAGAAGATGGTTCTGGCGTAGGGACTGGTTGTAGCAGCCCCGGCGATGATTTATCGCTTTCTGCTTCGACGAGGCTGGCAAGGTCTTGAGCATCGAGAGGTTCATCGGCGGCGGTGAGTAATGGCTCAGGAGTTTCTGAATCCTCATCAAAGATTACCGATGTGCTGCGTGCAACTACGGATGGCAGGTCTGTTTCCATTCTCCTAGATTTCTCATTTTCATCATGAACGTCCTGGGCTGGCTTTGAGTGTGGTTCGTCGACATGCGTCTCGCTCTCAGTCCCAGACTGCTGAGGCTGGGGCTCGGCAATCGAAATTGGGTCATGGAGGCTGATATTTACAGGTCCTTCAGTAGCAAATCCCTGGACGGCGCTCTGTGATTGGTCTGAATGGCCCTGTTCGTGTGGAGCATATGGTGCGGAGATTTTAGTGCTGTCATGGGCTTCGGTGGCTGGGGGACTCGCGGCCAGACCGGTATCATCGGTAGCGTCCAGGTCAATAGGCGTAAACAGAGACGTCAGACCTGGTTGAGGCACATGTCCATGTCCTGAGATCGACTTCTCTTGGCCATCATCTAGAATCTCGGCCTTCGATTCTAGGGGTGCGGAGTTATCTTCCGCTGCTGCATTGCTCCTTTTTTCGCCCGAGCTAGGCTCTTGTGGCCCTGGCATCGTGGTTCCTGCAAGAGTTTGGTCATTCTGGTCGCCCGGTGCTACAGCTACCAGCAGCTGGCTGGGGTGGTGAGTGACTGTTTCGAGTGCTGTATTTTCCTCGCTGTGTGGAATTCCTTGATGGTGCTGGATACCGTCTGAATCAAACTCCAAAACGCCATTGCCCCCCTCTTCATTCAACTCTGTGAAAATCCCCAAGTGTTGTGCAAAATCAATAGGGGTATCGTGTAATGAACCATGTTCCTCACCTTTTTTAGCCTGTCTCTTGTTACTTGGAATTGGTCCAAGGGTGTCTTTGCTTTCTTCATCTTCCTTAGCCTTGGCCTCTACCTCGTCTGTGTCCCTGACTGGCTGGTGTCCCTTCTTTTCTGCTTCGGCAGGAGGCTCATCAATAGGCTCGTCTGGTGATTTGACCGTGACGTCTTCGGTTTCCGGAGCCACTTCTTCAGCAGCCCTAGCTTCCTCCTCTAGTGCAAGAGGCTCTTGTGTCTCCGGTTGCATCTCATCCTGAGAGACCTTGGAGTCGTCAGCTGGCTTGCTAACACTTGAAACTGCATCCCCGGTTGCTGCAGGTATTTGTTCTTGGGCCGTTATCGCCTCCGGCGTAGCTGTATCCTCTGGCTTGGGAGGCTCTTCGACAGTTCCGCCGTCGGTAATCTGGTTGGTGTCTTCCTGCGCATCTGCGGCTGCGGCTGCGGGATGTTCTTCTGCTGTTTTGCCATCTTGGTCAGGCTTTTCTTCAAGGGCTGAGGGGTCTTCAAGTTGCTTGTCCTCGACAGGCGTAGCCTCTTCCTCTGGTTTGCTGTCAGCGGTTTCAGAGCCTTTCTCTGGCTCGTCAGGAGCTGCTAGGGCCTCCTCGGCCCGTTGATCTTCAGGTACTGCTTTCTCCTCGGCTGGCTTGATCTCACCCTCCGTCCCTGCTTCCGCCTCTGCCTTACTCTCCCGGGAAGAAGATTCTGTAACTGGCTCGGCTTCTCGAGATTCAACAACGGCAGTAGGCTCCTCTGCTGGCATCTCCTTAGGGGGCTCTTCTTCCTTGGGTTCGTCACCAGTAGATACTTCTGCGGCCAACTTGGTATCGGAGAGGTCAGCTTTTTCTTCTGACTTGTCGTCTAAAACTTCATTGTCGATTGCTTCCGCAGCTTCCACTGGTTTGTCGTCAGCAGTAAGGGTGTCTACAGCTGACACATCTCCAGCATGATTGGTTTCCTCCTTGGTTCCGTCTTCAGCCTCCGGGGCGCTTACTCCTGGTTCCTCTTCAGAGGTTTGAGTAACTGCATCCATCGCTGGCTCCACAGGCTTATCGTCAGGTGCCTCATTCGGTAGATCGGCTGCAGTATCTGAGGAGTTGTCCTTGTCATTGTGACTAACAGCAGCTTCAGTTGCCTCCACAGGCTGTTCTCCCTCAATTGTTGCGTTGTTCTCCACTCCGACCGGCTCAAGCGCCTCATGCCCTGTTTCTGTTTCTGTTCCTGCTTCCGCTTCCGGTTCCTTCTTGTCAGAAGCTTCAGAGGCCCCCTCTGTTCCGTTGCCGTTTGCAAGTGTTCCTACAGCTGGTGTTTCTTCAGAGGTCCTGTCTTCCCCTTCTTCTAGTCGATTTGGCACAGTCTCATCTGTTGTTCCTGTCTCACCAGCTGCAACTGTGACCTCCTTAGGATCGTTCCCGGAGACACTGGTATCATCAGCTGCATGTTGTGAAGGTTGTGGCACATCCTGTTCTTTGTCGTTCGAGGCAGATTCATCTTGGTCTGGGTTGCCGACGGAGGGCGTTGATTCATTCTCTACCTTCTCGTTTGTACTTGATATCTCTTCAACCGGGTCGGTCCTCTGTTCAGGAACCGGGTTTTCAGATGCTGATGGCTCTTCCTTGGAGATCGAGGTGTTTTCGACTGATGTTGTGTCGTCTTCTGCTGGGATTGCTGGTATTCGAGTCTCGTTTTCGTTTTCGTTGGGTATACTTTCGCTGATGCCCTCCGCCTCTTTAGTAGCTTCAGTACCACTTGTGGATATCTCTTGTGTGACTTCGTCAACATCTTCCTTTGGAGTAATCTCTGCCTCAAGGCTCCGGGTTTCGCCGTCCTCAATGTTGACTTCAGCCTTCGCCTCATCAAAATCGGATATGCTAGGAGCGCTAGGATCCTTGTGATTTTCCTCGGGATCTCCCTTGGCGTCGGTTTCGTTGGGCGTCTCTAATTCGGGAGGTCTATCTGAAGCAGGCTCAGAAGTATTTCCCTCTTGGGGACTCAGCTCTTCTGACTTTTCTCCTAGAGTTTCTGCATTGACCTCAGGCACTTCAATCGTTTCATCCGCTGTCTTTGGCGCTTTCTCAGCGACTACATCGGACGATTCCATTTCAGTATCATCTGTTGGTTTCTCTTCTGACAGTGGTTCAGTCGCATCACCAGTGGGAGTGTCCGGTTCATCGGCTTCCTTGGTAGAGGTGTCTAGAATAGGAGACTCATCCTCCGGCTCTGTGGGTAGGGGTTCAATAACTTCTCCTTCAGTCACCACTGGCTTATCCATTTCGACTGGCACTGGCTCTTGCACAACGGGTTCGGCAATCAAGTCACTTTTCGTATCCATGCCATCCTCAGGTGGCTGCGTTGTCACTTCGGGAAGATTAGCACTGTTGTCTGCTTCCTTAGACGCAGCTTCAGGTTCGCTCTTTTCCGCCGAGCTGTCGCCCTTCGCCTCCGTAACTGCATCTTCAGGCTCAACGTTCTTTACTACAGCATTCGTATCAGGACTGACAGTTGATGCGGGTTCTGCAGCCTCTTCTGGATCTTCTGGATCTTCTGTAGTAGCATCAGGTTGTTCGTGCCCTCCTTCCCGTGGCTTCGATGACTCTTCCTGGGCCTCCCCAATCTCGCTAGCCTTGGACTCAGCTGGATCCAATTGCCTATCCGGAATATCATCACTGGAGCTTCCGTTTTCTGGTGTCACTTCAGCTTGGCCCGTCGTGAGATCAACAGCAACTGGCTCACCGCTCTCAGGTTTGTCAGAGTTTTCGTCTTGAGAAGCTTCGGCTGGCGTGGTTTCGGCAATAGGCACAGTTTCAGGCTTCGATTCATCATCAATCGAGCTGTTTTCGGTCGGTTTACTATTCTTGCTCTCTGTGTCTGAAGCGTCGAGTTCTCTATTGCTGGGATCGTCTGTAGGTGCGTCTTTTGTGGGCTCAGCATCAAGCTCGGCTTTTTGCGGTTCCTCCTTTGTAGAGGCATCTTCAGCTTCAGGCAAGATCATGGAGCCGTTTTCTACATCACTTCCAGCTTTCTCGGTCGTATCAATAGCCTCCTCACTCTTTCCTGTAGGTTCTGTTGTGGTTTCCGGGATAGCACCACTTGTGGTTGCAACGACAGTTGCCTCAGCCTCATTGGCCGTTTCCTCTCCAGAATCCGCCGGCTTCACAATCTCGGTTTCACCACTGCCTTCTGCCTCGATAGTTTCATGATTTGCCTCTTGATCGTCGGCAGTCATAAGCTCACGTGAGTCTTCTGGAGAGGCTTTGGGTTCAGTCTTGGTCTCAGGAGGAGTTTCATGAGGTTGGATGGGGGATTCAACTTCAGCTTTGCTGACAGTTTCAGGCTCAGTAACACTGTCGAACCCAGGCTCTGTAGACGACACAGGCTTTACATCCTCCTCAGTCACAGGGTCATTCGAAGATCCGACTTCTGCTTCAACGGAGTCAGCTTTGGCGGCAGCAGACTCAACAGCAGGCTCCGGCTCCGGCTCCGGCTGGGGTGTCGCGATGCCACTCTTCCCGCCTTTCTTCTTCTTTTTCTTCTTGTTCTTCTTCGCGGCCGTGGTAGTTGTGTCTTCAACAACTGCTGCATCTTCTGTCGGCTCTGTTGCCTTAGAGGCATCTTCTTTGGATATTTCCTCCTTGGGCAGTTCATCCTGAGTGATTTCTGCTTCTAGCCCAAGTACTTCAGATGGTTTGGCATCAGTCACTTGGTCCTCTTCACGAGGCTTGTCTTCTGGTATTGGAGTTTCCTTGTCATTCGGCAAGGCAACTTCCGTCTCAGGAGACGAGCCATTTCCGTCAGAGGACTTCTCCGTATCAACAGGAACCACTGGAACTTCCGTTTTAACAGGCTTATCATCAACATCAATAGCTGTTGTTATATCGGTGCCTTCCTTGTCGCCAGGTGCTATTTCATCTGACTTGACAGGCTCCTCGTTATCTCCAGCGTTCTCCGGCGATAGTGTTTCCTCGGGAATAGACTCGTCCTTCTCACCCGCAACAGCCTCGCTCGCCATTTGGGCTACTGGATCTCCAGCTGGTGTTTCTTTCACTGCAGCATCGACTCCTGCTTCTACAGGGTTTGTGTCTCCTGGTTTCAAATCGTCTTCTGATTCGGCAGCAACTACAGCTTCATCTCCAGCAGAAGCATCGGATTCCAAAGCTGCTACGGAAGTGGCATCTTCATTCCCCTCTATGGCGTTGTGTTCACTAGAATCGTTCATTGTCCCAGAGGTCTCAGCTGCTTCTACAGGCTTACTATCCTCGTCAGCGCTGGCAGCTTCAGGGGCAGCCTCTTCCGTAGGCGGCGCAGGAGTAGGACCTGGATCTGGTCCCTCCTCTTCGGCTGAAGCTTCCCCTGTGCGATTTATCTCAGAATCTGAGGGCGGAAGCGGAAGCGAAGATGATGTCTCGTTTGCAGGCTGGGCTTCAACCTCGGGTTGCAAGGCTTGGTTCTCTGCTGGAATTTCGCTTGCTTGAGGCTTTGAGTCTCCTTCAGTTGTTGATTCTTTAGCAGGTGCCAGATCTTCGGAAGAGGAGGTTGTGTCTTCTGCAGGTCCATGTTCTATTTCGGATTCCGCAACTTTTTCTCCTGTCGGGCTCTCATCGGTGTGCTTTGAGTTCTGCTCAGGGTTCGCTTCTTCTGCTTGGATCTCTTCCGTGAGCTTTGGTTCTTCGTCTGATCCTCCGGCTACAGGATTTACTTCTTCCTCTGCAGACTTGACTTCTTCTGCAGGCTTGACTTCTTCTGTTGAGATCTCCTCTGTTGGTCTTAGATCTTCCACAGGAGCTTCTTCTGCAGGCTTGACTTCTTCTGTTGAGATCTCCTCTGTTGGTTTTGGATCTTCCACTGAAGCTTCATCTGGAGGTTTTACTTCCTCCGTGGGGGGGGCCTCTTCTGCAGACTTCGCTTCTGCTGTCGAGGTTTCTTCTATTGGCGTTGGCTCACTGACTTGTGTTTCTTCTTTAGGGTTCGAATCCTCCGCTGGAGCTTCACCTTTAGGCTTCACTTCTTCTATTGGTGCAACCTCTTCTGCGGTCTTCGCATCCACAGAAGGCTCAGGCTCCTCTCCGGACTTCGCTCCTTGAACCAGTGCCACCTGTTCTAGGGAGGAGGGGGTCTCATCAGCAAGTTTGGAATCAATTCCAAGTTCAGCGTCGTTGTTCTTCTCGGCCGGATCAGCTGTGCTGCTTTTCTTCCCTTGTTCATCCTCTGTGGTTTTTGGTGAGTCAGGCGTATCGTCCTTGGAATTGTTCGCGTCTTTCGATGAATGTGAGTGCCTGGACTTGTGATGATGAGATTTTTCGGCTTTTGCAGCTGCCTTCTTCTTCTCCTCTCTCTCTTTCTCTTTCTTTTCCTTCTCTTTCTTCTTCTTCTTCTGACTTTTATTCAGAGGCTTTATTTCGACGGCAGCTGTAAGCTTGTCATCACCATCGCCATCCTTCTCCGACGTCCCGGATGTTTCTGGCTCAACTGAAGTTTGGTCCTTAGCTGGAGACTCTTCACCGGTAGGAGCCTCCTCTGTGGAAGGTGTTTCCTCAGTCGCCAGAAAATCTTCCTTGGGGGGTTCCGTTACAGGCGAGTCTTCTGTAGCCTTCTCTGCTAGTGCGGGCTCTTCGGAAGCTTCCTCTGGAGTATGTGCATCTTCTTTGACTAATACTTCGCCTGCCGTTGGAGCATCATCCCCTGGTGTATCAATCGCAGGGTTTTTGGGCTCGGGGGTATCAACTGCGGACTTCTCACTCGAAATGCCTTCTTCGCTTGCCGGTTCATCATTTGGCGTATCGTCTGAGGGGCCTTCTGGTTGGGGCGCCTCTCCCTCGTCCTTGAGTGCGCCTTCTTGGGCTGGAGCTTCCTCTTTGACGGGTGTCTCTTCAGCCTCAGCAGCTGATATTTCGGTCGAAGGAGGGTCCTCCCGTTGGGATGCCTCCTCAGGGGATGTTTGTTCCTTGGGTGTTTCCTTGCCGTCAGTGTCCTTGGGTGCCTCCTCTTTCTCCTCGTTCTTCTTCGACGCCATATCTTCTGATGTTGTCTCTGTCTCGGTAACCTCTTGTCCTACAGCTGGTGAGTCTTCGTTATTGGCCGTGTCCTGTGTTCCAGTCAATTCAGGTCCTTCAGTCTCCTCCTTTGCTTCCTCCTCTACCTTCCCCGCCTCCTTGCTCTCCTCGACAGTTGGAGGTGGGGGAATTGGCACAGGAGGAGGAACTGGAAGAGACTTGGACTCCTTTTCCTTCTTCCTGCTCTTCTTGCTCTTCTTCTTGCCGGACGTTGTGGCTGCTGGGGATTCATCATCTGCTGGAGTTGGCGCTGGAGCTGCTGGAGGGTCTGGTGCTGGAGGTGGCACAAAGGCAGCTTCTGCAGCTGCAGCGGTCTTCTCTTTTTGCTTTTTCAACTTCTTCTTATCTTTCTTTGAAAGTGGCTGTGATGGTGTAGGTGCTGTAGGCACTCTCATTAGTGATTGTTGTGTGTATCCACCTATAGGTCGTTTAGTAAAGAAGGGTCAAGGAAAGAAGACGATTAGCAATAAGCCCAACTCACCTTCATATTCATCCTTTCCAGGATCATCCTCCGCATCTGAAAATTCGGGTCTGGAGTATTGGACATTTGAGAAATCGGAGAACTGTACATGCCCCCAATCAATTTGTGTCCTACTACCAGGGTAATAGTTGTAGCCGTAGCCGTAACTCATACTTTCTCTACCTTGTCCGCACCTGACATTACGAAAAGATCTCAATGACAAAAATCCGGGGAGCAACTCTATTATCTTGCTTCTTGCACCACGCCAGTCAGGCGATCGGGTAGCTACAGTAATACCACCAAGTATTAGATCTCTCGAGGCCCTGAAGTTGTTAAGCCTCCTACCTACCTAGGAAGTATGGGTCGGGGGGGTATCATGCGGCGCACTGCAGGGCGCGACAGCTCAGCAACAGAAAAACAATTATGGCAGATACGTCTATTGGACGGCGCCAGAAAACATAAGGGTTGTGAGCTCAGTAACTTTGATTTGCGAAATGCAAGCCTCGGATCATAACGGGCGAACGGGTGGGAGGTCCGGAGAGGTCATTCACGAGAGGTATTCTTGAGGCGAACGATGGATGGGTCCATTTCTCTCAAGGCAGGACTGCTGGAGAAAAAAGCATGCAGGCCTGAAAAAACCCAGTCTGATTGCCCAGTCCCCTGCTTGCGATGGGCCACAGGCGCCCAAACCCCAAGGATTACAGCGACTGCTGCATCGTGCCCATGCGCAATTGGCCCATGCAGAGCCAGCGCTGGCTGGCGCCACGTCGCTGGGGCGGTTGGGCAAGGTAGGTTGGGTTCCATGGATGTGAATATCGCTACAGTAAGGCGGGCCTAACGGGGCGGGCCATCAGAGGACTCGACGAGGTTGAACAGAACAATGATGCATTGATTTGACCTACTTGACCAAGTGTAGATGAGGCCTATCGCGGCCCAATAATAAGGTACTGTACCCAGGCTCGGATAGCAGAATCAGTACGGACCTGCATGACGGGCCGCTGCCAGCATGACAATCGAGCACCCTTGAGCCAAGCGGCACGAGTGACAGACAATCATGATGCGATGCGATGCGTGCCAGGCAGGCAGGCAAGATAGCAATTGGGCAATAACTAGCAGACCAGCTTTGTGCAACACTGGTCAACCTGCCCTGCCTGGTAGCATGGCGGATATCAGAGCCTTCAGAGCCCGTTGTCATCCACCGTCAGCTGCAAAGTCGTCTGGACCGGTTTCAATATCGAAGGTTGTCTGGACCCGCCATCCCCACGCCAAAGGCCGCTCCTAGCAGGCGGATCCCGGTACGGGCCTCCTCTCCATGGAGGACAACATCTCAAAACCTTGGATGGCTCGGCAGGTCGATCGATGGTGGATGGCTGCAACTGAGCGGTTTAGTTGCTTCAGATGTGCAACGTGGCTCGCGTCTGAAGCTTCTTCTGGCAGACCCATTATGCATCTCGATATCGGAAGCCCTCGGGCCTCAGATGTAGGCCATTCCCCCTCGGTGGGGGGGGCAATTCATGTCAATCATTGTCAATACTCAGCATTTCCAGAAACGACCTGGCTACAACGCATAACTCTCGATGAGATGGCGCCCAACCCATCTCACACCTTCTTCTGACTGGCTCCTCGGCGTCAGGCTGCTCGAGCCTGATAGCATCATGACATCCACCCCCTCCGCCATTATGCCGTTGTGGCCGTTGATCAACGTTGCCGTCGACGTTGTGGGCGTCGCGTGAGCTGAACTTGAGGTGTAGAGACAGTAACATTATCAATTTGTCCACGCCCATGCCCTGTGTCTCAAATAGAGGGGTCCACTTCACAACACGGAACTCTTGTTCTTGCGTCCCGTATTGATCGATCAACACATGCACTTCTGAATTTGTTTACGCCTCTACAACTTCCATCACAAGTAGCCAGCCAGCCAGTTTTGCTTTGTAACACAAACAAGATCCGTTCCTGGCGGTAGCGTCATGGGCGTCATGGAAATAGGGAGAGCGGTGAGTAGCGCTGGCGTAAATGGAGAGGCTGGATCGTGAAAACTCTTGGCTGCTAGGCCACCAAGGATTAATAATAAGTGACAGTTGGGGAGAAATATGGACGGCTAACATAACGAGGCTGGGTCCCTTTCACGGCCGAACTTCACCATCTTGGTTTTTTATTAGTGTTAACATATAATTCACGAGAAGCAAGACCTATACTTGCTCTACTCGATCTCCATGGTACCCAATTACTGCTTCTTTAAAACCTACGTGAGTCTCTCAGTAGCGAGATGTGACACTGCCTGAACAGGCCAGACTCGCCTTGCGAGACGCGTTTTTTTTGTGAGAGAAATCATCACAGTATTGCACCATTGTGCATGATGGCACAGGTATAAACGACTGTGGAAGGAACGCCAGGTGAACAACAATTTGATGGCAGCCTTGTTCTTTTATTGGTGTCTCCATCCTGCAAAAGACAGACATAGAGTAGCTAGCTTTTTCCGCCTAATTGCATTCTCAATATCCCGCAGTCCATCTTAACTCTGTCGCATTTCGAAAAGGTCAGAAACTGCTGGCTGGCGACAGCTATAGACCGCTCTAACGCACCTCCCGCTGAATCAAATCATTGTATTGTGGCGATTGTAACCTCAAAATCTCATGCGATCGTAGGCCATCCCATTCTGGTTCATGCCGCCATAGGCCATACCGTTAAAGCGTGGTCCGTTATTCCCGAAACCATTATGGAATCCAGGATGAACTCCGTACGCGGGCAAGTTCTAGGCACCCTCGGTAGCCTTAGGCTCAGTCGCACTAGGGGCATACGAAGCTTGAGCTCTGTTCTTCTTGATGACTTCCTTCACTCGTTCCTCTGCCTCATCCCAATCCTCGGTATCGAGCTTGACCAAGTCAATACCATACTGCTCGGCAATCTTGCTCAAGGCATCGAAACTTTTCTTATCGTAAACGAAGCTGATGCTGACCCCGACACGGCCAAATCGACCGGTTCGGCCGATACGGTGCAGATAGGTCTCGGCATCTGGTTCAGTGTCGCCTCTTCCTTTCATGGGGATGTCATAGTTGATAACCATGGACACACTGGAAACATCGATACCACGAGCCAAAACGTTGGTGGTAATGAGAACCTTGTTCTCGCCCTGGCGGAATTTGGACAAAAGATCATCTCGCTCGAATCCATCAAAAGCAGCATGGAGCGCGGAGACCTTGTGACCATCTGCTACCATTCGCCTCTGAATCTCGTTGGCGCTTTCTCGTGTCTTTAGAGAGTTAGAGCAGAGATCCAACGAATAACCAGAACTACTTACCTTGACGAAGATGACTGACTGGCCGATGGTCATCAATCCATAAAGCTTGCAGAGAATATCGTACTTCGTATTGTCATCTGGGCAGTCGATGAACATTTGAGAGATGCCCTTGACTGTGAGCTCACTACGCTGCAGCTTAAGACTATGGGCGTTAGGCGCAAACTTGCTGGCATACTTCATGACATTCTCGGGGAAGGTGGCCGAAAAAAGAAGGACCTGGATGTCCTTGGGGAGCATGCTATCAAGTTTCAGCGTTTCGTCGGTAAACTCCAACTCCGTGGGAACTTACTTCTTGACCCGAAGGCACTGGTCCCCGAGTCCTTGCTGATCCAGCATGTTGTCGGCCTCATCAAGGACAAGAACGCGGAGCTGAGAGACATCCAACTGTCTGCGTCGAATGATGTCCATCACTGTACCTGGAGTGCCGACAATGACACTAGCTCTGACGGGTTCTCCACGAGGGAGTGCGCCAGGGATCGCAGCAGCAACCTTCTTATTCTCGATAAAGCGTCCGATGGCGTTGATAACTCCTTCAATTTGTCGCGCCAGTTCTCGGCTAGGCGCAAGAGCAAGAGCTTGGGGCTGGTCAGGTTTGCTGAAGTCAACTCGCGACAATATCGCGGTCACAAAGGCAGCGGTTTTGCCAGTGCCAGACTGGGACTGCGCCAACATGTTTCGCGGCGGATCGCTGAGCATCAGCGGAAGTGATCTGCCTTGTACCTTGGAGGGCTTCAGAAAGTTAAGGCTGAGGAGACCCTTCAGAATATCCTCGCGGCTGAAAAAGAAATGTCAGTAACGCTTCTTCTAGAATGAGATGATCACCACCTACAGGCCAAGATCCTGCCAGGTGGTGGCAGAGTGGAAGGGGGTGGCTTCATTGTTCTGTAGCTCGCTCAGGGAGACCTCGACATCCCATTCAGGCTCATGGAGACCAGAGCCACCGAGGTCCTCGATGTTGCCGTCGGCTTGGCCAAGTTCGCCAGTAGAGGCGGGAGCACTTTCGGCTGGAGGATCCGCGGCAGCCTCATCAGGCTTTGTAATTCGGCTCGCAAGATCAGCCATGGCGAGTGTAGTGTTATGCTGTAAAAATACGTTTCGGCGATCGCAAGGTGCAAGGAGAGAGTCGATACGGTGGGGGGAGGCGGTGGTAAAGATCTCGAGGCCCTGGAGCAGGCACTTAAAAACAAACTGCCCGGCAAGATCACGACGTTCCTTTAACCTGCACGAGCCGGCGCCGAAAAGGCTTTGAAAAGAGATGTAGAAACTGAGGAAGGTTTGAGGTATGGGTTAGCCTAAGTCGAGAGAAATACTCAGGCAGGTGAATAGGTATAAACAAAAGCTCATGCAAGTTGCCGTGAGGTAATGAGAGGTGAATGGACCAGGAAGCTTCCTTCTCCAAAGTTTTGGCGGGGTCCAAGTTATTGGAGGGGTACATGCAGAGCAGGGCAGGCGAGGTGCTAGGAAGGTACCTAAGTACCTACCTACCGATTGGGTGGTGCCCACTCAAGCTTCCATCAATGAGGTGTTCGCCTTAGGACCTACCTATAATGTGGGCGACTACCGCTAATTACCCGGCGCATTTGCTCTCACATCAGACTCATACAGTTGTGTATAAAACAAGATAACTTCGGCATAAAGCTCAAGACTCAACTTACGCAACCATCCCTTGAACTAGGAAATATCAAGACTCGGCTCTTCAAGCTTTCATATCTCCGTACATCATACAATAGTCCTGAATAACAACAATGGCAGCTCCGCCGCCGCCGCCGCCGCCTCAAGGAGGGCTATCTCTCTATGAGAACCTGCTGGATCCCAATGATACACCTTCAACCTCAGCGACAATATCTTCAGCCCCTGTTCTGTACAGCCAAACA